TCTCCGGATAAACGCACGTTCTATTTCCCGAGTCTAAAAAATAGTTGCGCTCAGGAAATTAAAGTATTTCGGATAAACCGATAATCGATATACCCTCTGCCGACAAACCAATATAAATTCTGGCCTCTAAGTTCACAGAACCATGCAACAATCGAAAGCAACTCGTCCGCGATCGATAGGCTGGTAACATCAATTAGTTATTATTATTGGGGGGACGGCGAAAGGCGGTTCGTGGAAGAGGAACTTATCAGTTCTCCACAATAGACTTCAAAGACGAGTCACTGGAAAGGCGGAGCGACGCGTACACGCAATGTCCTCGGTGTTATATCTTTCCTCGAGGTAAATGGACTGGAAGGCGCAATGTTCCGCGTCTACGTGGGACTCTATTCGCATCGTTAAGCACTCTTTTAAATCGTGAAAGTCCCGAAGCTCGACCTAGACATTCTACCTGTTTGAGTTCAGCTTTTACACATTCAAACGCGCGCAACCTTCGCCGTGTAGAAACAGTTCTATAGATTTTTGCCGCACGAGGGAAATTTAACTATCTGCGACTTTCAGGCCAGACAGATTTTTCACTGTAACTTACGACACGGCTCTGGCTAACGTAACGCGTCAAGCTTTACCGTTAGAATTTGCTGCCTAGCGAAGTTCAACAAATTGCATTTCGCAACACACAATTTCCTTTGCCATTCGATAAATTAATCAGCGATCTATGGGGACATTTTCATCGTACCTTCGAACTTTTGTATTTGTACCGAAATGTACCTAATTGGGCGTTACGAATGCGCTTTTCTTTACTATCGAATTAACTTCGTTTTTGTTCGTTATTTAATCTATTTTGTTTATCGTTTCGTTGCGTTGATAGGACATACTTTGTTGGAACGATTTAAGACGATCAGGAAAGGATGCGATACCGTAACTATTTGTGCATCCCCTTTGAAATTCGTAATTTTGATGTATTCATGAAAAAAATTAGCATATGTTAATTCATATCATTCGTTCATGTAATTCACAAAACTACGATGACATTACGAGAGTTTGGGAATGATGTTATATTGTGACTTATGAATAGAAATTATTTGTTAATTACTAACAAAAAAGGGCGGATATAATTCACAAAACTATGAATGCGTTACAAGAATTTAAGAACGCTGTTATATCGTGACTTATTAATAGATGCTAATTATATTTAATTATGATAAAAATGAATAGATAGAAACCAGTAAAAACGTATATAGAATTTGGAAATGGTATTGCATTATCTTCGGCTCATTAAGATGATAAAAAAACGAAATCAATATTTCTGTGAGACAATTTTTATTTCTCAGAAATATATATTCGCAGTTTACTTAATAAAATCATCGAAAGAAGATTTATTTGTCCTATTTAAGAATAAAGTATTTATTTTGCACGCGTGTTAGCAGCCTGACAATTCCGAAAATCTGATAATGGCAGATCCAAACGTCCACCGAAACGGTAAGAAGTGGCTTCGTGTAGCATTTTCTAAAACTGGCAGTTACTTGTGCATGCCGGCGTGCGTCGTTAAAGTAATTCGGTGAAAAACCATATACGGTCGGTTGCGCCTTTAAGGATGCCTCGCAATGTAATCTAACCTGTCATTCGGCGGTTCGAAACGGGGAGAAACGGCAAAGGAATGGCCATCCGAGTGTGTAAATGCAGAGTCGCGCGACGCCGCGTCGCTGCGCTGCAAGGACTGTGTTGACGCAAACTATCCGACCAATCTATAGAAACTCCGCAGAGCATAATGGTTCAACAGTTACCCAAACGAGACCACCTCCGCCGACAAACTTGACATCTTTCTTTCGCTGACTCTACTAGCTGGCTCGCAGCTTCGAAAGACTGCGCGTTGCCGAAAGATGCCATCATTAGGAGAAGTTTTGCGAGTGTGAAATCGCAGTGTTCGCTCGTCTGTCGCTACTTCGCCGAACAAACATCCGGATCATTGATCCATCATACATTTTCTTTTATACTTCTTCTTTTTTATGACCTTTTACATAGACTTTAATAATTTTTCTTGAAATTATATACAAAATTATGGTAAACGTTTTCTGCTCTGACTAAAATCAGGAAGTATAGTAGAAAATATGTCTACTTTTCAAATTATTTGTATGCTTATAGGAATTACATTTACATTTATGTACACATATATCAAATTTTATATATCAAATTTTTCACAAATGCCAGAAATTAAAGAATTCTAATATAGGAGAATAATGGATATAAGACAAGAGTGTACAGATTCGTATTATCAAATGAATGATTAGCATTTTTAAGCATCTTGTTTAGCCAGCTTTTCCCTGTCAGACAACAGGAATCGTTTTCTACATATTTTTCATGATTGACATCATAAGTTAGGAATGTTTGCATATTTGACAACTTAAAAAGTGCGAATCGCGAGATTTCATGTCGCAAAAGATTTTATCTTATGAAAGATATTTAGGTGTCCGGTTTTCGATAGATCAAGCTTATACATTAGTAGTTCACTTAAACACTGGAATATTTGGATATGAAAGTCAGAATATAGAAGATAAACAACCAAACCACGAAAATGTATTTATGTTGTTAATATCAAACCGTACATCTCTCAGCCCGGTATTAAGATTTAAACATGTCTTAAACCGATGATACCTCGACATAAATAGGTTAATACATTTCTATAAGAAGCGGCGGGCTGCATCGATCTGGTAGTTTAAAAATACACGCTTCCATTTAAACAAGTGCAAATGACCTAAGCCCGTGTTTCAACGTTTCCACGTAGCAACATTCCGGTTAAGATGCTGAAAGCGTTTTCTTCTTCAATTCAGCGAATGTTTCGAAATACTTTCTATAAGAGATGAAACTGGGACACCCTGTATTTAGGCGAATTCAACAGTAATCTCAAGATTCGATTCGTTAAAAACGAGCTCGGGCGAAGGGAACGAAAGGTATGACGTAAAAAGAAGTCTTTGAAAAATACTGTTCAATAACTTCGTCTCCAGCTATCGCTGGAAAGAAGAAAATTTGTTTTACGTACTTTTAATGTACGATATCGAACTACCTCTAGGTTTTCAGTTTAATGACTGTTTGATTGAAGTCTCTGACTGGCGCTGATACACTTCTAGAACTGTTGCGCAGACACTCAATTTAGACTGATAAAATGTTGGAGTTGTTTCTAAAATATATTAGAAATTGGCACAGAGTATGAAACCTTTAAAGCTCTCTGATTTACAAAAGAATTGGCTCTTAGAAGAATAAAATTGTATTCGAACAGTATTTTGATTAAATTTTCCATATAAAATTGTATTTGTATAAAGTCTTCGAATAAAGTTTTATTCGAATAATATTTGGAATAAATTCTACGAATAAAATTTTGTTCGAATAATATTTCAAATAAATTCTTCGAATAAAATTTTATTCGAATAATATTTCGACTAAGTTCTATGAATATTTGACTCGTTGTTCGAATAAAATATGCCCAAATCTGGTTTACAACATAATTTGTGTGTCGCTTGAAAACGTTTCCACCGTTGACTAAATTGTATTAGTTTATTTATTGCAGACGAATCAGTGATAAGTAATGACGTAAACTGCAAACTATCTATTCAGAAACTGTTAATTCCGTTTGCTTAGTCGACTATGTATGTACTACCCTAGGGACTTGTTTATCCAATTTCGCGACGTATTGCCAACGTACAGTTGTAATTTCCAAACCTCATACACTGATTGGCTAATGTGTTGCAATTCGATTGACTTACACCCATTAACCAATACGATTGAATCAGCAAATATGCGAATATTTGAAGAAATTGTCGTACTACTTATACTTTTATTTGTGTAAAATATTCAAAATGCAGATACACTATTATATACAAATCATGAGAAACAAAAGTGTTTCATATTTAGACAATGTTTTTAGTCTGATTTGTTCGAGAAAAACGGATTTTCTTTTGTATCTTCTATGTTAGTCCTTTTTCCCTTCATACGAACATCATATATAAATATTGAAAATTTCCTTTACACATTCTTCTTTGAGACAGATTCTAATGTACCTTTTTTATTAATACTGGATCTTATGAATTCATTTATATAAATTCAATTTTATAAATTCAGTTTTATGAATTCGATTTTATGAACTCAGTTTTATGAATTCAATTTTAGAAATTCGGATTTACAAATTCAATTTTAGAAATTTAATATGACGAACTCAGTCATATGAATTCAATTTTATATATTAGATCTGATGAATTCAATTTCATTATTTTAAAGCGTAGATAAATGAGTGAAACACGATAAAGTAAAAGTCTGTATTAAAAAGCAAAAAAGCAATTGTTGTATTATCAAATCTGTAACGCTGAAACCGGAGAAATTGTTACATCATTGTAGCATTTATAAACGAATTTGATGAAGCGCGAGTTTGTATAAACACTCGCGTTTTGGTTATGAGACTGCAAATATTTAACTTTCGAGTAGCGGACAATGCTTCAATACGGTCGATGAATTCTGGGTCATTGTAATACCTCAACGTTTAGATGCTATGAAACAATATTTTATTTAATAATAAAATTTTGATTCTGTCGTTTTTCCAAAAAACGTTGTTTTCCCTAACTCCAAAATATGTGCTACAGTATGTGCATCCAAGATCGTACAAATTTTTAATAAATTTGCCATTTGTGTTGTGCAGACAATATATTTTTGACAATTCTATAAGTTTGATTCACATTTTGCATGGTTACACGAGGATAACTCCTCGCGTTCTTATGCATTTATTGTTTTGTCTGATATTATACTATTTGTAACTACCACTAGATTTATTTAAAAAAATGCATTTTATCATTACAACGAGAGGTAACGCATTTTTGTTACGTGAATAAACAAGATAACAAGAATGAATTTCGAGAAAGACTCAGCAACGAGACTTCGCGTGCATGAGTCTTCTAGCGAGGAATATTTATGGTGTTGCTGTTTCCGTTCGAAATATAATGTTTGAATACTCAACAAACCTTTTCGAAGATGGGTGTACGGATCATGGACGTCATTTTCATGATAGATCACAGAATGCAGCGTGTCATTTATCTCGTATGGTGGAAAGTAATAGTGCGCCTTTTCCACGTACCACGCGCCACTGCGAGGCGAAATTATTTTTCCGTGGAACACACCGTCGCTGATGCTCCCGAACACATGACTGCCAGGTTCGCCTAAAAAAAAAGCGATTTGTATTCAGTAATGATTGACGAATATGCAATGAAAAATATAACAGTGCATACATTCATAAACAGTTCGCATAGTCGTTGCTACGGGCTGATATTTCTTGAAAAATAAAATCGACTTTCCTACGACTTAGGGAAAAAAGTAAAAAGATCGAATTAATTTCGACTTCGTAAAATTTATATTATAAAACTTGTTCCAGTGTCGTAATTTATTCAAACATTTTCTATGAAAGGATCACTAATGTTTATAGAATTGTAAAATAACTAAAACAGTGGTACGTTTACTGGTGAAATTATGCAACGTTCATTTAAGAGTACAATAAATTATGCAAAATTTTAGATCTTCTCGATGCATTCTTCGCAGAAAAAAAATTCTCAAATTAAACAGATAAACTCAAGCAATTACTAACAATTGTATTCATAAGAACATTGAAACTAGGAGATTTTCAACTACATATTTATGTACTTCATTGATGAACTAAATATTTATGAAAAATTAAAATTAAAATTTATAAAAATTTACATATACTGCTAAATAAGAATTTGAAGTAAAAATAAAATTTATATATTTCGTTGTGGAACGTTAATTAAATGTCGAACTAATGGGGAAACTTTATTAATTTTTGTCAAGCCTAATGTTTGAATTATACTTTCCAAATTTGCATATACCATAAATGCATAATATCCGCAGTCTGGGGTTAACGATTACGGGAACGACGACTGTACAGATTAAAGCAAATGGCATGTGGCCAAAATTGCAAATGGCAAATGCTTTTGACTTTAGTCGCTTAATTATTTTGACAGTGTGCAATAAAGCATTTACAGTCGGTTTAAGTAGACGTCTATTTCTATGGAATTTTTAATGATTGTCATCTAATGTTGCTTATCAATCAAACATGGAAATCTGAAGAAGGGGGGAATTGATTACACTGATTAGAAAATTCTGTGTGGAAAACATAGAATGATAGGAAAATTAATTTTTGCTGTTACACTCTTCTTTTTCTTATATTTTACAGTTTTCTAGTAATTACATTTTACAGTTTTCAGCAGTCTAATTTTTATGCGTAATTGAAAATAGAATCTAACTCGAACAAACAATTCGAAATTTGGTTAACAAATTTGATAAAACTAGATCTCTATTCATGATAAACCAAAGTCTGATAGACCAAAAACAGCTCGTTCGAATGCAAACACTGCTGCCGTTCGTGAAAGTGTTACTAATGAACTATCGTAACATTAATTCCACGTGGTTCTCAAGAATTGAACATTTCTTATGGCGTTTGTAACGGATTTTGTATAACGATTTGCATTTGCATGCTTACAAAACTCAATTTACACGAGAATTGAAAGAACGTGATTTGCAACGCAGAAATTTCGCTGATTGGTTGTTAGAACATCGTTCAATTGATGAATTGTTTTCACGCAACATCATCTTCAGTGATGAAGCTCATTTTCACATTGGATGGATATGTCAATAAGCACAGTTGCCGCATATGGGGAGATAAAAATCCAAACGCCATTCAAGAAAAATCACTTCATCGTCGAAAACGAGAATGAAGATACAGTTACAATGAATGGTGCACGTTACAATGAAACGATTATTGATTATTTATGACTGAAATTAAATGGTATCGACATAAACAATGTTTATTTTCAACAAGGCGGAGATACGTCACGTGGAACGTATGAAAACATTACTTTATTGCGATTGAAATTCGATGGTCGATTAATTTAAAGAAATGGTGACGTGAATTGGTCACCTCGTTCGTGCGATTTGATTCTATTGGACTTTTTTCTTTAGGGTTATTTGAAAAGCAAAGTTTATGCCAACAAACCAGCAACAATTCATGACCTAAAAAATGCCATTAGAAATTAAATTGGTGAATGAAACGAGCAAATATGGCAAAATGTCATCGAAAATTTTGAAATTCGAATCGATGTCTGTAAACGTGGTCGTGGTGGTCGTTTGACAGACATTATGTTTCACACATAATTGTCATAGATGATACTTGCTAATTGAATAGAAAAAACTCATAAAATTCAGAATAGTTTGTTTTTTATTTTAAGAAAATTTTCTACATCCTATTTTGGATAACTCTGTACTTAAATTGTTATATTGGATGGTAACTTTGCCCCAGACTGTGGACACGCTTGGTGCCACCCCTAAATGCATACTATAGCCTGAGGCATTCATACTAGGACGGACAGCTGCTATAACGAACGAGGTTCCAGAACCAATTACGTTCGTTCTAGCATACTCCACTGCATCACTCGATTGTATATACATACAGCGCTAACTATGAAACGTTCCCTTCTACACACTGTGTCCCAATTATCCGAGAATGGGTCAACAATTCGCAAGGAGTTAAATAAATGTTTAAGAAATCGTCTCTGAGAGCTCTGTTAGTCGGTGTACACAGTAGGTGGATCCTCTGTAGGTGTTACATCAATACTAATATCTTCAAATGCTACAGATTTTTATGCATTCATTTTGAGTTACAAGATTTTCTTGCCTACAGTCGTTTGTTTTCATAACTTAATTTGTCCTTTCATTTGATAGCGATGAATTGGTAAAAACACCTATGTAATTCAAAGGTAANTTGATGAATTGTTTTCACGCAACATCATCTTCAGTGATGAAGCTCATTTTCACATTGGATGGATATGTCAATAAGCACAGTTGCCGCATATGGGGAGATAAAAATCCAAACGCCATTCAAGAAAAATCACTTCATCGTCGAAAACGAGAATGAAGATACAGTTACAATGAATGGTGCACGTTACAATGAAACGATTATTGATTATTTATGACTGAAATTAAATGGTATCGACATAAACAATGTTTATTTTCAACAAGGCGGAGATACGTCACGTGGAACGTATGAAAACATTACTTTATTGCGATTGAAATTCGATGGTCGATTAATTTAAAGAAATGGTGACGTGAATTGGTCACCTCGTTCGTGCGATTTGATTCTATTGGACTTTTTTCTTTAGGGTTATTTGAAAAGCAAAGTTTATGCCAACAAACCAGCAACAATTCATGACCTAAAAAATGCCATTAGAAATTAAATTGGTGAATGAAACGAGCAAATATGGCAAAATGTCATCGAAAATTTTGAAATTCGAATCGATGTCTGTAAACGTGGTCGTGGTGGTCGTTTGACAGACATTATGTTTCACACATAATTGTCATAGATGATACTTGCTAATTGAATAGAAAAAACTCATAAAATTCAGAATAGTTTGTTTTTTATTTTAAGAAAATTTTCTACATCCTATTTTGGATAACTCTGTACTTAAATTGTTATATTGGATGGTAACTTTGCCCCAGACTGTGGACACGCTTGGTGCCACCCCTAAATGCATACTATAGCCTGAGGCATTCATACTAGGACGGACAGCTGCTATAACGAACGAGGTTCCAGAACCAATTACGTTCGTTCTAGCATACTCCACTGCATCACTCGATTGTATATACATACAGCGCTAACTATGAAACGTTCCCTTCTACACACTGTGTCCCAATTATCCGAGAATGGGTCAACAATTCGCAAGGAGTTAAATAAATGTTTAAGAAATCGTCTCTGAGAGCTCTGTTAGTCGGTGTACACAGTAGGTGGATCCTCTGTAGGTGTTACATCAATACTAATATCTTCAAATGCTACAGATTTTTATGCATTCATTTTGAGTTACAAGATTTTCTTGCCTACAGTCGTTTGTTTTCATAACTTAATTTGTCCTTTCATTTGATAGCGATGAATTGGTAAAAACACCTATGTAATTCAAAGGTAAATGATTTTGTAAAATTCTATTTTGAAAATGAAAGATTGAGGTAAAATGAAATTTTTGGTTAAAATTGGGTTATTCGTTCACAATCGGTGGAATATGTGTCAAACTCTTACAAGATACAAATTGGAGTTAATTTTCACCAATTGGACTTTTTAATAATTTAGCATCATATCCAAAATATTCAATTGTTTTTCTCCTTAATCAATACATCAAAATGAATTCATAAATTCCTGATAAATTGATTCCTCAGTTTACTAAGATTCCTTTTTTGATATTTGTCATGATTGCGATACTAGTGCTGTGTAACAGCAATTTTCGTGCTATCACCGTCTTTTAAAATATTTCTTTCACCCTGCAGCGAGAATATCGAGCTTGAAAGTTAAATGTCTGTTTCGCCGCAGCCGCGTGGTGCTAAGCAGCCGCCTAGGGGTTGCTGGCACAGATAAGGAGCAGCAGACTTAGGGTGCCTGGTGACCAGCCCAAGTTCCAAATTTTCGTCACCACCGAAGATAAGGGTTGCTGTTAGAAATGAGGTGAAGACATAGACCTATGTATCATCATACATAGCGTTACCCGCCATCCGGTTCCCGCCAACTTTCGGGGAACATCGGGGGTCTCATGCGAGCCTCTAAAGACACTTCGTGCGCGAACATCAAACTTCCACCGTCTCCCGCACCTTCGCCTGCCTCAGCGAACAAGTGTATCGCACATTATTCTAATAAAGCTGTTTATAAGAAGGACGCGAGTGTTCTTCAACACGTAACAACAGCCGGGGAGGGTTCAGCTAGACGGGTAGCTGGGTCACGGGTTCGCCTAACCCCTTAGGGCTTCGCTAATTTGCGACCTTCCACCGGATACGCCGGTCGAGATATTTATTGCGTTAGTTTCGAATTCGCAAGATCTGCACAATATCTAGAGCGAGGTTATTAATACTACAGAACTTGTCGAGATGGTAGATCGCATGCTTTTCGCTTGTCATTAGATTCTGCATCTCTATGAAAAATTTTTCTTTGTCGACTGTAGGAAACAGAATTTAGGTAAAATTGTATTTCTTCGTTTAATAATGTCAATACATCAAAAGTCGTATAACAACATTCTTAAATGCTTAAAGTTTTTGCAGGTATGTAATTCACCTACACATATTTGCCATAATAGCATAAAATCCGTATAATTGCATTAATACAGAATTTATATATTCTGCAAATATACGTTATGTTATAAATTGCTAAAAATCTGAATAAGAACGGGATCGTTACTTTTATAAACTAATGAATTCGTAGTCAGAAGCCACAGCATTATTATGTACATATTTTTTTAGTGGTAATAAGTAGACTGCGAGTTTAATGCATTTATAGTAAAATTAAGTAGGTGTAACATAAAACAATAAAAATATCAGAACAATCTAACATATAATAATATAAATAAAATAATATACATAGAAAAATCAATAGGAAAAATCGATAATCAGATTTCGAAATATAGTCATTTTTTTACTTATCAACTTTTTTCTTTTGATCTAGCACCAGCTGTAACTAAACTCATACTGATGAAGAATCTTACACGGTTTTTCATTTCAGATAAACAAAATGGCCGCAATCATGGGCACCATGAGACAATTCTTTTGAATTTCAACTATGTTTCAAGCTAATCAATGCCAATGATTTTAACTTTTTCAACGCAAAAAATTATTAAGTATTATTGAAGCATGCATAAACAAACCTTATAAATGCAACTGCAAAAGGTCTCATAGCTTCTTCGCAAACAAAATTCCAAAGAAAGTTAAACGAAAACGTAATTTACATTAAAACACCCCCTTAAGAGGTCATTATTAGAAATCTCCGTTATAAGTCAGTCGCGTCAAAGTTCGGTAAACGCGAGTTCGAGCAGAATAATTTTCGGAACTGGAAACTTCGTTGCAATAAACTGAGACGGGTTTAATACCGTGGCATTTAAAGCGAGTCTCGATTAAACAATCGAAACAAGAGATCGGTTTTTTCTCGTCGCTCTCCCCCGCGAAACACGCGAACACGGTCGGCGCGGTTCGCGAACACAAAAGTGAAAGATATACCGTCCCAACACCCCGGCGACCGAATCCATAATTTAAAACGTCCCTTTTGCGCGCGCGAACTACGCTAAATTATTACGCTGCAAATAAAGGTCTCACCCGGTATCTAACGTGACACGCACTTTTGCGTGCCACACCTGGATATCGCGGTGAACGTGGGAGTAGATGTAACGCACGGACTATACCGTGAAACGGTACACTGCCTCGCCGAGGTCAAAGTTTAGAATGTAACAGCGCGCACTTAAGAAGCAAAGAGATCATGATTTATGACTGAAGAACCACGCTGCTGTTTAAACTATTTTCTATGTTGCCCCGTGTTCCCGGGCCGGACAGAAGCGCGTGTTACTTTCTTTCCGTGACAGTGCCTCCGATATTGCACGTTGACCTTACACGGCCGTAACATGCTTGAGTGATCCTTGCAGCTGGATGTGTTATAGGCATGCCGTGAATTTATGGAATACATCGTGCCGGCGATCGAAATTTGCGACGCGAAATGTGTTTGAATAAATAAGAATGTTTATAGATTCTACCTTCCAGCTTTATGGAGCGGGTTAGACCTTTGCTTGTGCTTCCTGTATGGCGCATGCATTACTATGTTAGGCTAGTTTTGTGTGTTCCAGTTATGAATGTCTCTTTGTAAACGTTCGTTTATGTAGATTCCTGTGTAGTGCAAAGGGATCGTCCTTGCAGGAGGAAGAATCGTTCAAGTGAAATACTTTCCGTGTCAGTCACAGCGCATACGATAGAAAATGTAATTTTATTGGGAACTGGATATAATATCTGTATAAAAAGTAATTTCTGTGTAAAATAGTTCAATGTTATTTTTATAATACAATATATTTGTTTAAATAATTTTGCGTTGCATGATTTTTTTCTTGATAATATCTTTTGTATTTTTATCTAAAAATTCTGAAGCTGACGGTGAATATATTTGAAGCGGTAATAATAATGAGCATCAATTTAACTGAACAGTTGTTTCGACAATCATTCATTAACCTAAAATGGAATGTTATCTTACTTCATAGTTAAATATTGAATGAATCGATTATAATAATGATTAAAACAATACGATAATGTAAACGGAAGAGTGTGAATAATTTGATCACAAACAGCAGTATTGAGGAAGATCAACAATAACAACTGATAATTTAATAACCCATTCTTCGGATCAATCACAAGTAGTCTGCGGATCTTTATACAAAATAAAAATTCTTTGCAGAGCTCGAATAATCGTACTTCCTCCTCCCAAATTGTCCATTTTTGTGTAGAAGCTGAGGGTCAATCAGAAAAAATTTACTGTACTCCCTCTGGCAATAAATGCATAAAATCTGCTGCCTAACCATAAGTAAACTACGGATTTTATGCATTTATGACAAAAATGAATAGATGTAATTTAAACCACTGAAAAAGATAAAAAGAAACTAAGAACGTTCACGTATTAATTTGATCTCATTAAAGGTATTGAAGAATGCAAAGTATTATTCTCGATGCACCCGGAAGTATTATCAATATTTTTTAGATCCTCAACTGTGCATTGAATATTTGCAGAAAGTTCGCGCCAATGAATCACGAGTAAAATGCGTAAAACCTGAATCATGAATTTTCATATTTCCTCGCAAAACAAAGAAGCAAAAAGCTTTAAAGCGAATTTGTCAGGCACGCGGCGTGAGATACGAAAACTCGGCTAATAACTTTACAAAATAATTTTATTTGGAGAAAAAGATTTCTCCCGTAATTAGCTGGAAATTAGCCATAATTTGTCGAACATTCATTAAAACGCGACTCACCGACTAAGTGGCCCTGGTAGATGTGTGATGTTTCGAGGTCCTCCGATTGCCCGGAGGGGCCCTCAATAATTAGGTTATTGCTAAATGTAGTCAGGTCTCGCTTCAGTCGAATATGAAAGTCCCTTCCGTGCGAACGAAACTTCATAGTCACAGAATTGTCGCGGGTAACCGACCTCTTGGCCCTCAAGTGACCCCGATGGATCTCTTCAGTAGGATAGGACAGTGGTTCATAGTGGTGGATATATTCGTTCAGTCTTCGTGCTGTAAAAAAGAAAGAAAGATATCATTTTAGAGTAGTTTCCTAAAAAGTCCATATTTAAAGGTAATGGAAACATCGATTTTTTTCGCCGTGGAACCATTGATTCATCGATTGTTCAATTATTAATTGTTGGACTGCGGATTTTAACCTTTTGCCCTCGAAAGATTTAATAACAATTATTAAATTAAAATAACAATCATTATACTGCTATGAAATTTTATAGGAATTAATACATGAAAGATTTTGATATATATATATATATATATATATATATATATATATATATATATATATATATAATGTCGCTGTATCAGCGACATCCGAGTGCAAAGGATTAATAATAATAGGTAATAATAAAACTAGTTTATTGATGTCAACAGGCAAAACCCTTTTCTCGATTTCGCCAATGTACAAAGAATCGTCCATAAAGGAGTAAACCTAATGTATTTCTTCAGTTTTAATACATTTCTCTCTACAAAACAATTTTAACAAAGTTTAGTTGTAGCACATTCTACTGTAAAAAATGTGCTGCGTGAAGCATGCAATTATTCATAAATATCTTCATCAGATATAGATTATATATTTTAGACATTTATCATTTCTGTGCCTATAGAAATGGAATTTTCATAAACTTTAATCAAATTTGCTAATACACGTATTTAATATTTCATGAACTATTATGTTTAGCAAATTGTACCTGTAATAAATTATCACATTGAATACGTGCGTCATCATTAATATACATACATCACTAATAATGAATCTTTAATAGAAATTATAAATTGTAATAGGTTCCTAATACAAATTTGTATTAGGAACCTATTACAATTTATAATTTCTATTAAAGATTCATTATTAGTGATGTATGTATATTAATGATGACGCACGTATTCAATGTGATAATTTATTACAGGTACAATTTGCTAAACATAATAGAGATGTGTATAAGAGACAGGCACGAAGACTGAACGAATATATCCACCACTATGAACCACTGTCCTATAGATGTGTATAAGAGACAGGCACGAAGACTGAACGAATATATCCACCACTATGAACCACTGTCCTATAGATGTGTATAAGAGACAGGCACGAAGACTGAACGAATATATCCACCACTATGAACCACTGTCCTATAGATGTGTATAAGAGACAGGCACGAAGACTGAACGAATATATCCACCACTATGAACCACTGTCCTATAGATGTGTATAAGAGACAGGCACGAAGACTGAACGAATATATCCACCACTATGAACCACTGTCCTATAGATGTGTATAAGAGACAGGCACGAAGACTGAACGAATATATCCACCACTATGAACCACTGTCCTATAGATGTGTATAAGAGACAGGCACGAAGACTGAACGAATATATCCACCACTATGAACCACTGTCCTATAGATGTGTATAAGAGACAGGCACGAAGACTGAACGAATATATCCACCACTATGAACCACTGTCCTATAGATGTGTATAAGAGACAGGCACGAAGACTGAACGAATATATCCACCACTATGAACCACTGTCCTATAGATGTGTATAAGAGACAGGCACGAAGACTGAACGAATATATCCACCACTATGAACCACTGTCCTATAGATGTGTATAAGAGACAGGCACGAAGACTGAACGAATATATCCACCACTATGAACCACTGTCCTATAGATGTGTATAAGAGACAGGCACGAAGACTGAACGAATATATCCACCACTATGAACCACTGTCCTATAGATGTGTATAAGAGACAGGCACGAAGACTGAACGAATATATCCACCACTATGAACCACTGTCCTATAGATGTGTATAAGAGACAGGCACGAAGACTGAACGAATATATCCACCACTATGAACCACTGTCCTATAGATGTGTATAAGAGACAGGCACGAAGACTGAACGAATATATCCACCACTATGAACCACTGTCCTATAGATGTGTATAAGAGACAGCTATACATCTGTTGAATATATTTTATTGTCTGCTTATATATATTTTATAAAATATATATAAGCAGACAATAAAATATATTCAACAGATGTATAGACAACAAATGTATTTAATAGCGAGACTGCAGATTCATTAATGCATTTATTAATCAAAACGTTAACTAATCAACTAATCAACAAATAACTAAACGTTAACTAAACAAAAACTCTAATAGCTTTTTTCTTTTCTTTTTACAACGAGCAATATATTCGTTGGCGAAGGATATTTTACTTTAATTCTAATTTTTGTAAACTGGCGTACGGAAATGAGAATTTGCATAAAGATCCGCAGTCTAATAGTGTGGATTGCAAGTGATTGCAAGTGGAATCGAATTTTGTCCTTCGTTAACAGAGTACAGGAACGTTAATGTATACCCGGACTCGGTGCTCTGGGATTTAGTACGAAGAGTGGATCAGTTCAGTTCTTGGATCAATCGGTTTCCGTAAAAGCGGAGCTTTAAGGATTAACAACTCTGCGGCAAGGCATTTTAATTTTGAGCATTTCTTAGCCGAAATAGATTATCTGAACTCATCAGCAGGGCTCACCTAGATATTCACTCGACAATGGACAATGGGATTGGAGAATATCCGCCTGCATTAATACGGTGCGAGAGGATCGCGTACGTGCGGGTTTCTACCACTGCATCGTAGAACAATATGGTCATAAACCCTTATCGTTCGGAGACATTCGCAAACTAGACACGATTCAGCCGAATCTTTGCGATTTTGCAAATTAATTCGTACTAGTCGCGAAAACTCGAAAAGCTCTTTTCCAGAGTTTATCTTTATTCTTATATATTTACGTTTATTCAGCTTGGTGTGCAAAAATAATGGCGGAATTCTTTCGCCTTGTGTTTCACGAATAACTTTTTAATTTGCACATTGGATAATGTTTTAGCTTGATCTATTTGCGTTCAAATAATTTTTCTAACCTTTGATAATATCGAATGTTAAATAATAGCAAGTTGTAGCAATATTAGTCATATTCGCAACAATTTAATGATCAGAAAATTATTTAGAACCTGCTCCAAATTTTTCATCAGAAAGTACTTCAGTTTCCCTACACATCGGCAAATCGTGGCCACTTTCAAGAAGATGATAGTGGGGACAAGATGAGAATTTATGATCTTAAAAAGTTCTGGAAATCGTCGCCGAAATCCTTAAGCGAGCCCATTGTTTGGGAGCACCGGTATTTTCTAAAAGACGCAAATCCCTGGCCGCTAAATGTGGGAAGATGTATTTCAAAGTCTCTAGTCCTGGCATTGTGTTGCGCTTCAATGGACACTTTACAGTGATACGCAACCATTAGCATTTAAAACAATTGAATAAAATTAATTTGCCGAATAAAAGTCTGGAGCGTACTGCAAGTCGCAATGGACGAATCTAGCATTTAGAATTCTAGACATCAGAGTTGAGCATATTTTATTCGAATAACGAATAACGTATGCAATTTTATTCGTCGAATTTATTCGAGACATTATTCAAATAAAATTTTATTCGGAAAATTTATGTTCGAAGAATTTATTTGAAATATCGTTTGAATCAAATTTTATACGAATAGTGCCCGACTCTGCATGCCGCATTCAAAAGACAATTCACGCGGTTTTCATTCTTGACTGTATGATACCCTTTTTAACAGCAACTGTTAAATCGTTGATTTTTACAAACTTTGCACATGAAAACTATGAAATAGAAGATTCAACATAATTTGAAGTATTTTCGTGTTTCTTTTTGCCTCGTTCAACGCATAAATGAGAACAACGATTGCTTTTAATATAAAATTTGTTAAGAATGACATAAATTCATACAAAATTTCGAAGTCAATCAATTATTCGATAAACATATTACACCCTATAAAGCTGGAAACTGTAGGTTAATCGTTTATCTCGGTTATATTCCTTCCTGTCATCTGTTCGTTTTGACTACGACTGCGTATCCCGTAATGTTCTCATGAATACATAATACGGAATAAAAGATTTTAATTGTCTTTAACTGAGTTACGCGCATTGTTCAATTATCTTTGCGACAGAAACCGTTGTACGCAATGAGTATTCCGTTTATTTCCTGTCTAAGAATATTGAGAAACGGAGCATTAAAGGTATTACGTTGCCGGCATCCATTTTCCTTGTTCACTTTTTAGAATGCTCGTAAAAGTTGTGCAGAGTGTTCCAGGTTTTTCTTGCCAAACAGTGTCAGCATGCACTGCAAGTAGCATGAAGAAAACAATATCACCATCTGTTTCCTTGCTGTATCAGGAGAAAACCCGGTTGGTTGTTATTTCGTGTTTTTGTGCCGAATAAACGTGGGATCGTATCTGCTCTATTGCATAGTTATAACAACAATACGGAACTACCGAGTGGAACATCAGAGATGTTTTTGTTATTTTGTTATTCTAAACTTATTTAAATTATTAAATTCTTACCTATTTGAATTCTTATCCATTTAAAACGTATCTACTGTATTCGTAACGTATGTAAATTATTAAAAGAAAAACATTTGTTTTTATTTAAATTCTGTTGCTTACAATCGTTTTGGAAAACTTGATTTTGCATACAGATCTGCAATCTACCTATAACAATACGCTTAAAGTTTAGCTGCGCAGTGAGCGTAGATTAATGTACATTAAATATAAAAAAGTGACGAGGCAAACGTGTTACTTGCATCTTAGTTTCGTTTCCCTCCTGTCGCTATTGTTCGTATATTTCCCACAATTTTATTTGAATTCTAGGTTCATAAACTTCCTTGTGAGTAACATTGTTACTAAACATTCGAGAAAAGTATAGCTCTCAAGTGAAATTAACATTTTTGAAAAAGGAGTCCCAGAGTTCTGTGTGCTTCAAAGATCGTACAAAGATCACACAAAACCAATTTATGTTCTAAATAACGACTTAATTGTATATAGAGTTCGGCAAAATTTTATTCGAATTATAAGATGACGAAATTTTATTGATAAAAGATCAAGACTAACGACTAAAATTTTATTCGACAATATCGAATAAATATTCA